CCTGCTCCTCTTTACAATAAATAAATAAATAAACTTAAATGAATCTAAAGGACACAACTTCCCTGAGCAACTTGGAGAGACCAATTGCGTGATAGTTAACTGAAGCCCAATTTAAGAAACGAACTTGTTTGCCTGGTCAATTGTTAGTACGACCATTTCTCAGGAACGCTGATTTGATGGACGTTAGAACTTACTTAGGGGGCCGACAGGTGGCATGGGGAATAAAGGCGCTAGACTCCCACTTTGCCTATTGTAGTTCGCGTCCCGGACCTGGCAGCTTTCTCTCTCTGTCGCTCGCTCGCTCTCTCTCTCTCTCTCTCTCTCTGCTCAAATTAAAATAAATTAATTGAATTAAATAATTATTTAAAATAAAAGAACGAGTCCTGTGTGCTTTCAACTTTCTTTTAGATTCTCTTTATGTGTCTTAATGCTACCTTGTGGATAATTCGTTCATATCTGTCTTTCAGTTCACAATTTCTCTCATCCATGACATCTAAGTCATTATTTATCAAAGCCAATAAAATTTAAAGCTTTTTCTCTTATAAATTTGATTAAATTATTTATACTTACCCATACATACATTTATTTATTTATTTATTTTACCTTAGGATGCTTGCAGTCACCCAGGAGTGAGAGAAAGAGAAAGAGTCAGTGAGAGAGAATAGTGAGAAATTACTTCCCTACCTCAGGGGGATGGACACCTCACAATCTGTTTTCCTCCATTCTTCTCCTGGGATCTCAAGTACACATACACAAGTGTGTGGCATGATTTTTAACCCTGGGACTTGAACTGCCATGTGAGAGTTCAGGAATGTAACTGTTACACCATCTGCTGGCCCTTTATTCTCTTTTCTTAAAACACATAAAATATACTTGCTTGTATTTTCTATCCAGTAATTCATAATCAGGGTCTCTATGAGTTTGTTTCTGTCCTGTTATTTCTTTGACTTATATGGTGCCTTCTTTGTGCATTTGTTTTGTGATTATTTGTTCTTCTGATGTTCATTTGTTTGTTTTTCTGTGAACTTATATTCCTTGCCATGTTTTTCTTTTCTTTTTTCTTTTTTTTTTGAAGAGGTTTTTGCTACAGGGAGTGTGCGCTCGCCAGAAAGACAGAGAGAGATGGAAAGCAAGAAATCACACCCCAGGGGGGATGACCACGCTGCAGTCCCTTCTCCTCCACTCTCCTCTTGGGTTCTTGGGCACCCGCGCCCGGCGTGAGTTTTAAGCCACCGGGTCCAAGACTCAAACTGCGGTCGACTACATGGGAGTCCAGCGACATAGCCATTACGCTAACTGCTGGTCCCTCCTTGCCATGTTTTTAATGAAGAGTTAGTTACTTGAGGACTGAATCGAAGGTTTGGTCCTCCACAGCGGCTTCTTCCAAATGCTTTTTCATCTCCACCAATCAAATCAAGGGCTTTTAAAATATATGTTTATGTCATAAGCTCACATGTACGTGCATGTGTAGACGCTGCATATAGTGTGATTTCTGGTCTCATGTCCATTCAAAACCTGGCCCATAACCACTGATGTTCAGTGACAGTCTTCTTCAACCAGACCAAAGACAAAGGTCCGTGCTGTCTTGCCCTTCATGATTATCCAATTAATGTAGAGCTCTCTGATCTAAGCTCCCGCCCTGCACAGATCTAAGGCTTTGTCTTCTCCCAGGGCATGGTAATTAAAGCCAAAGCTTTAGGACATTGGAAATCAGCAGATACTCTTAAAATAGTCTACCAGTTCTGAACTTACTTCCCTGGACTTATACTACAGCTATATCTCTACCTTTGACAATGTTCTTTATTGCTGCTTTGCTTTTTCCCCTACAAAGCATTTTTTTAAAGGAGTGTGTGTGTGTGTGTGTGTGTGTTTGTGTCTTTGTCTGTGTTTTATTGAAGAAAGTACAATATATAGTCCACGCTATTTTACTGGCCTTATGGCTCAAGTTGGACAAATGTTCTCCTAGTCTGGCCGTTTTCTAGAAGTATCTGCAAGAAAGTAATTACAGTTTGGCATTGTAAGTAGGCTCTAGCATATTTCAATGCAATAGTAGGCACCGTGAAATGAAATAAGGACACACAGCTCACACCATACTATACCATCAGGTTAGGTTCTGTTTCCAGACCAGCTGAATCTCCAGGCTTTTTCCGCAGATACTTTACTAATATTCTTTTGTTTAATTTCCAGAGTTTGAGGCTATGGTGCACTCGTCCTTTCCCCATTGTAGACATACAGAGACATTTCAGAATTGATTTTAGGCTAGCTGCCTCAATAAAACTGAAATGAAGGTACAAAAGTTAAGGTACATGGTTTGTTTTTTAAGATAAATTTTTGCTAAAGAACATGTGTGCTCGCCAGAAGGAGATAGTGAGACAGAAAGTGAGAAATAACCTCCTGGGGGTATGGCCATACTGCAATCCCTTCTCTTTCATTCTCCTCTAAGAATTTTGGGCACACATGCACACGTGCCCAAGCATGAGTTTCAAGCCACCAGGTCTGAGACTTGAACCACAGTCGACTACATGGGAGGTCAGCGATGTAACCTCTATGCCTTCTGCTGGTCCCAAGATACATGATTTTAATTATATGAAATTTCTCTATACATTTTAAAGGCTAATTCTGATACAATTCCTTCTCTTTGAAATCCCTATCCTTCAAATAGCCTTTAACAAATATCACAAAAGACTGATTTTTGGGTGAAAAATTTACTCTTTAAAATTGTCCCCTTGGTTAAAGTGCCATTTTCTGCCTCTTAGTGATGTGTGCTTTATTGGCAAGGGCATCTTAACTTCTAACTTTAAAAAGTTCTAGGCCATAAAAGGAAGCAAAACAAGTGAAACAGAAAACATGGAAAAACAGGTATTCCAAGATAGACAGATTTTGAACGACAGATTTAGCACTTGATCGAACAGTTATGAGATGGTTACTTATGTTGGTGAAGCGAGGATTTCTTCTGCTTTGAATGGAACTTCAGCATGACTGATTATTCATGCCAAATGTCTTGGGAGTTGCTATTTGCCAGGCTACAATGCAGCCAGTAGACTCTGGCTCAGAATCAATGATGGTTATACCGGGATTAAGAAATGACAGTTCTTTAGCTGAAGAAAAAGGAATTTGGGGTTTTCTTTCTGTGTTCTCTTTAGTTCAATGGAGACTATTTTTGCTTCAGTTTTTAAAAACGTGAATATTTATTATTTGTGATCTTCTATTTCCAGAAAGTATTGAGGTCACTTCAAAAAGCAAATGCATATAAAGCAGAAAAATTAAAAATAAACATACAAATAAAAATGTCAGTACATTTTAGCCATAGGTTCAAAGACTTGAACTAAGACTGATTAAAATAGGCCAAAATTTTCTGATATGTTAGTAGCTTGAGTATTACCAACGCAATACTAAGAATCTGCTACAAGATTTATTTGAGGACAGTGTGACAGTATATGTGCATATTTAAATATATGTATATATAATTTTAGAAAATGCAAGATATATCTATGCCAATGATCTCTTTTAAAAGAAAAAGGACAGTAAGGTATTTTTATACTAATTATTTTTGCTAGTTAAAATTTTTCTTGTTGTTTTAGTAGATTAAGAAAATATTTATTCGATGCTTTTTCCATTTAATAGTGCGTTAGTTATTAACAGCAAACAGAAAAAACAATTTTGGCATTTAAAAACAACATAAAGAATCTTGTAACCCACAAACATTTGATATTTGATAAATATTCCTATGTCTCATTTTATGGTATACTTACATTTATGTCCCTCTTAAATAAAGAACCAAATCAAGAAGCACAGCAGAAACTAGCATCACATGTTTAATATATTTTAAAATATAGAAATATATTTTAACAGCACACTTAAAGAATAATATAATAGACTTCCATTTCTTATTCTCTCAATGGTATAGCATTATTAAAAATATATTACTTAAAGTACCCCCAATATGTTATTGGCAAGTTATCCATAAGACAAATTGTATTTAAAACAACATTCCAATATACCTGGGTTACAAACAAATTCATAACGTTTTATAAACCATTTCTGATGTGCGTTTTGTTTGAAAGATCTAAAAGAGTTATGCATATTTTAGATGAACTGTAAATAAGCCTAACTATGGAGCTACCATAAATAGTAAGTTATTACTCTAAAGGTCATTCTTTAAAAAGTCAGTGTGTGTTGAAGAAAAGCCTTAGAAAGTGTTCCAAAAGAGAGAGAAAATAAATTAATTTCAGAGGAAAGAACACACACACACACATACACACACACACACACCAGAACCTTCCCATTTGGAATTATTTGTGCTTGGAGGAAGGCTTACAATATCCCTTTATAAAATAAGGTTTTCATTGAGCTCATTCTGAAAAATATGAAAAATGGAGTTCAGCTGTTCTTTAGAAATGGCAATTCTGTCAAAGCCATTCTGGGATTTTCTTGGTAATTTCCTCCAGTTTAGTTTCAGTGCTTTTGCCCCAAATAAAATCCCTCGCATCACATCAATCAGCAAACTCGGTTATAAAGGAGAGCTAAAGAAAACGATTCTGTCGGCATCTTCTGCTCTGGTACATTTTACGCATACAGTGACTCTTGTCTATGGGGAGAAGAGTGGAGCACATGTAACTGTTTCTTTATTTTGGACTAAGTGCTCAAATCTAAAAAAAAAAAAAAAAAAAAAAAAACTGCAGCAGTAGTGTTCTAGATAATAGGCAGACATGATTTATTTGAGGTAAGAAGGTTGTACTACAATTTTTTAGTGTTAACTTGGAAAGTTATGGTCATAGGCTCAAGCCTGTCTCCACAGAATTCCTGAAGCTTTTGAGCTCTTTGCAAAATCTACAATCCACAGCCAAGAAGGAACATGCTCCTACAGTTACACGAATTCTGTTAAAGCAAACAGTTATAACAATTATGTGCAATCTTTCAGCTTCTATGTTCTGCCTGTTTATTTATTCAAATCCAGTTCAACATTTCATTTTATCTAATGAAGCAGAAACTCTAAAAGAAAAATTGTATTTATCCAAGCATTTTTGTTTGTTTTTTTTTTAAGTTTTATTTCTAAATAAATACCCTATCATAGTTTTCATTGGCACAATATAACCAAATGTATTCAATTTCCTTCAACAATATTAAACAGACAAAGGGGTTCTGTTTAATCTCAGAAAATTATATAAAAATTGTATTTAAAAATGTTGAAATGGAGTTGAATTGGGCTCAGCATAAAACATAAAAGTTAGACTGGGTGTTCTATTGTACAATGTAGTGACCTCTAAAATAGGTTTTATTGATAAGGCAATCATGAGGAGAATATATACCTTTAAATAAATAAAAATGACTATATACATGACATTGTACATAGATAAAGCGATGAAATGAGCCAGACTAATTGTAGGAAATTCCCCTTTTGTCTGAAAATATGTTTTTTATTGCAATTATAAACCTTAATACAGATACTTTTGATATTGTCATTATTTAAGATTAGTGGCAGCCACATGAGCGAACTACCATATTTCTGTACTTTTTCAAAATGACGTTGGAGCTGTCATCAAAGTATAGAACAGAGATGGCATTTAACTTGGTTGGAGCACAACAAGGCTTTGGTACATGGTCAGGAAACATCAGATGAACCTGGGAAAGAAAAACAATTTTTTTTTTTGTATTTTTAAGAAATAGTTTAAACATTTTCTTGCAGGTCTAAGTCATATGCTTACTTTCTCAGTCACAACTAGCACACTCTTCTTCTTATGTTCAATGACTATGGTGAGCTACAGGACTGGTAGCAAAGGATATACAGCCTTAAGCATTAATACCTAGAACCAATCCATCAGTTGTTTCTTTGTTTTCTTTTTTCTTTTTTTTTTTTTTTTAGGTTTTTGTCACAGGGCAAGTGCACTCGCCAAATATAGACAGAGAGAGAGAGAGAGAGAGAGAGAGAGAGAATGTGGAAAACCACTCCCCAGGGACAATGGCCATACCTCAATCCCTTCTCCTCCATTCTCCTCCTGCGATTTTGGGTATGCATATACACATGCCCTGCGTGATTTTCAGGCAGCCGGGTCTGAGAATTGAACAGTGGCCAGCCATGTGGGACTCCAGTGTTTTAACCACCACACTACCTGCTGGCCCCCCAACCCACTAGTTTTAATTATGTCTTGTGACTTTGACAAATATTCCACCAAATAAGAAAAACTTCCTCTATAAATATTCAGTGTAAATTTTCCTGGGGATAGAACATAGCAACTAGCACTGAGTTGTTTTTAATGGAAATAAATTTTTATTTGTATCATGAGAAACAGATATGCAAAGCAATGAAGACACATAGTTGGACTGGAGAAAGATTGGGATCTAATGATTTTTTAAAAGGATAATCAAACAATAAGTTATAAATATTACTCGAACACTTAATTTTCCATGGTAAAGGAAGCATAAAAATCATAATCCAGTACTTGCTTTAAAACAATGATTTCAACTCTTCTCAATAAAATTATTTTACCAGATTTGCTGGGGCTTAATATCCTTTTATTATTTTTTTTCTCTGTTGCCTACTCCCTAGACAAGTGCCAAAATGTAGTTTAAGCTAAATCATAGCCAAGAAACCTAGATATTCTACAAATCAAATATCCATACCCCTGAAAGTCTAAAAAGATGTCTATACATGAAAAGCGAAATTTTTAAGGATTGATAATCATTTTGATCAGACTGGCTATCTGCCTGTAGTTTACAATAACTGAGCAAAGAACCAGATTATGGGGCCCTCCTTTCCCACCCACCTACTCTGGCCCTTCCCCCAAAGGAGTTTATGGGAAGTCCCACTGATGAGTCTTAAGGGATCTACAAAAAGCAAATATGGCCTCTTAGAGTTTTGGCTGTGCTACGTCCTGGCTGAGATGATATAGGGGCCCTGCATGTGGACAGAAAGAGCAGGAAAAATGAGGTGATCTGACATGGACTTGAAATTTCCTAAGACCTCACAAAACTAAAAGTTGAACAGTTTTACAGATTTCAGATGCAGCTTGTGTCCCTCATCAGCTTTATCTTCCATAACCCACAAATTCATGATTGATAGTCCCTCTGTTTCAATGGCCTTGGCAGCCTCATGAAGTGGTTGTTCCAGAAAAAAAAAAAAAAGGATGTTCTTGAATAGTTTCTCAAATATATTAGTTGCAAACATGCTTTCCTTTAACAACAGACATGTCTATCTTCTTGTTCCATGTCCTTTATAGAACAAATGTAGAGTGTGCACAATGCCAGGAAAAAAAAAAAAATCAACCTTCATATGTATGCTTCAGTTTTGTAATGACTTATGTCCTACATCCCAGGGTGGTGATGCAGAGCAGGGGCTTATTCCAAGTTCGTGTCATATTTTTCTTTTCTAAATGTTTGTTTTTCGTCACTGCCGTCTAGATTACAGCACTAAGAGCTGACAATATGTAATTATATATTTATAAGAAGAATGGGAGAAAGTGAAGTAAGGGGGGGTAGTATCTGACAAAGGGTTTTTTCAGTAGGTAGGTATTGCCTAGCCTGAGAGAATCTTTGATACATTAGACACACATCTACGAAGTGAAAGTCTGCTTTCTCAGTCACTGAAATGACCATAAAAGGAGGCAAAGAAAGTTCTGAAAAATTAAGTAGCATTACTTTATTAGCTAACAGAAGCTGTTCTGTAACTTTCCAAAAGACGGTTTTCATGGCTGTCCCTTCAAAGGATGAAACAGGGTCATTTCTCTTTATTTGATATGCTTTCTTATCAACATGAAATCTCATACACAAGAAGAGAAAGCTGTACCTCTGAGACATTGTTTAACCGGTGGAAGTTCGAGTGTAATACACCCATCCTCACAGACTGCCTACTTCGATCCCCTCAGAAATGCCTTCCCATATTACAAAGTACTTATATTTATAGATTGCAAAGGTAAAGGTGTACCAGGCCTTAAAATCCCCCTAGTAATTTACTCTAAACCTTGTAAATGGCACTTCAGTAGGCAATCTCACTGGGTAAGAATCAATGAAAGGGATATTAATATTACCTAATATTACCTATCGAAAGGCACATTTCCTTTAGCTCTTTTTCTCTACCCCGAGGTAGGCAAAGACAGGTTTTCCTAATATCTACTGCTTTCTTACTGACATCTGCCAGACAATTTCACTCCCATCAAATCTTGATTTTAAAAGTGTGTTGCCTTGGGAACCAGCAGTTAGCATAATGGCTATGTCGCTGGACTCCCATGTAGTCGACCACGGTTCGAGTCCTGGACCTGGTGACTTAAAACTCATGCCGGGCGCGTGTGCGTGCGTGCCCAAGATCCTGAGAGGAGAATGGAGGAGAAGGGATTGCGGCGTGACCATCCCCCCTGGGGGGTGATTTCTCGCTTTCTGTCTCTATGTCTCTCTCTGTCTGTCTGGCGAGCGCACGCACCCTACAGTGAAAATCTCTCCAAAAAAAAAAAAAGTGTGTTGCCTTCATTTACTCCAAAATATGAGGCAGTGTTTATGTGTGTGGGGGAGATGCTCTTCAACAAGTTCATGGAAAATGTGTATTATGAAAAAACTTTGCATTTATTTTTAAAATGCAGCAAAATTCATACTTAAAGAAAAATCTTCTTCATGATAGTGAACACATGAACATACAAGGTCTCATCACATTGAGAACTCTTTACCCAGCCCTCTAGCTCTTCAGGATCTTGGGCACATATACAAGCACCCAGCATGTTTTCAGGCTGACCCAGGAATCTGAGCCTGTGGTAGGCCATTTAGCTTCCAGCCCTGCAGTTCAGTTTACTACAGACTACACTCCCAGGCTGGGCCTAAACTCAAATTTTAATTTTATTTTTCCACAAATTTCTTAAAATATCCCCATACACAGGAGGAAAAATTAAAATTAATTTATTTTTCATATTAACCTAAACATTAACTTGGAATTATATCATATACTCTAATGTGTCTCTCAGCCTTCCAGAGATTATTCCTCTACCAAATCAACAACTTGCACATCATGAGATACATCGGACTCTCAAGAGAATTCATAAATGCATAAGATTTAGGACAACTGGGACCAAGAGTTAGCAAAATGGCTATGTCACTGGACTCTCATGTAGTCAACTGTGGTTTGAGTCCTGGACCCGGTGGCTTAAACTCACGCCAGACGTGTGTGTGAGCATGCCCAAGATCCCAAGAGTAAAGTACAACCAGTTATACACCAAGTCAACATTTCACTATTTTGTTTACAAAAGAAACTTAGTTATTAAAGATGTAACATTGTGAAATTTTTGAATGTAAAAGGAAGAAAAGAAAGTATAATTTCCACTTTAAAGATTATAAAAGAAGTAAAAAGAAACAGAGGAGAACAAAAATATTTAGAAACTAGTCTTCTTTTTATCTACTGTATTAAAACACTTCTATGATATCAAATATGTTCACAACATTCTGTTTTGTTTTTGTAATTTCCAATAGGTAGGTGCTCTTGCCAGAGAGAGAGAGAGACAGAGACAGAGAAAAAGAATTCTCAATGGGGTATAATCATACTGTAATCTTTCTCCCTAAATTTCTCCATCTCGTCAGGATTTTGGGCATGCACACACGTGACAACCATGTTATATATATATATATATATATTCAATCACTGTGTATCATTACAGCTTGCAAAATGAGTTTTCCCAGCATAAATACACTCTACATTAGTTCAGTTAGTTATTCTCATACATGTTACCGTCGACAGATAATTTTCCATTTTTGTGTCCCTTACGTGATTTCCTTCTTTTTTCCCTTGATTCCCTTCCTCTCACTCTCCCCATTCTTACCCTCCTTCCACACTGCCTCTAGTATCCACAATTGTTCTCCATGTTTTTATGTCTTCCAGTCTTTAAGTTTCTGCCATAGAGTACAAACATTCGGTAGCCCAAACATTCTTAAAGTATTAGACTAAAAGCCCTCAGATGAAATTCAGTATAGCTATGGTTCAATGTTTTTCCAATAATTATTAATGAATTGCTACGTTAGTAACAATGCCTGGGAACCTATATGGTTATATTATGCAGTGAAGAAATCAGTGGAGAATGACCACTTCATGTGATTACCTCAATTTTCCCAGCTGAATCCATCCCCACTCTGGAATCTGCTTGAATTCCCTGACTATACCCACAATTACTACTTTGACTCTAAGAAGTCACAAAGGAGTCTGATAATTGCAAATGGATGCTTTCTTTTATAACAACTTTATATTGTGCTCTCATTGTAAACCATTTTCAGTCCTACAAAAGCAAAGCATACCAGAGTCTGAACTATGGCATGGTTCGTGGCATTCATATGGGCATTAAGTGGAAAAGAACATTCTCCATCACAATAAAATGCAGCATATCCTTCTGGTGCTATAATCCAGTCCTAAAAGGCACATAAAACAAGAAAAAAATCACTAAAATAAATTTTTAAAAATAATTCTTAAGAAAGATGCAAATATTTTTCATCTCAATAAGTTTCTCTTACAGGCTTAAGTATTCTAATCAGTTTGCCTACCTGATACATTTTAGTTTAATTTTAAGTTGAAGTTTACAACAACAGTATAAGTATTTTCAGAAGGAATTGTCCTCTCCAATTTATTCTATGTGCTTGCTATGTAAGGTACTCATTGTATGTATTAATCCATGCATTCATGAATAAAACCACAATCATAAAATAGCATTCTAAATATTGTTTAAACAGGAAATGCTGAACTCTGGGAAGGTCAAGTAAACCAGAAAGGAAAAGGAGAATACACTTAATTGAGATGATTCTCATTATTTCTTAACAATTCCTATCTAGTTTTAGAAGTCTGAAAACCAACCCCCAAGGCTTTATTATTTGCTACATGTGTTGCTTTTCTTTCCATTCATGCATTAACTTTATAATCTCTTTAGAAGAATGAACAAAATCCTGGAAATTATATGTGAAAAAATTTAGAAAGCTGAAAAATTGATACACAGAATGGCTGCACTGACTCCCTCTGCAAGAAATAAAATCTGATTCAAATGTCAGAGTTAATGAATTGCCCATGTTGAAAGTTTATAATAAAAGTTGAAAATACTTACATTTTAAAGTTATTTCTCATTAAGAATATTCATATACTAAGAATCTATTATAATGGAATATCAGAAATCTAAAATTTTTACCACGTAAAGTCATTAAAAACTATTGGGTCATATTTATATATCTGACTTTTCCGATGACCCAGCATTTTGGCTAAATTCTTCTTGCCCTGTTTATAAAATATATTTAAAGACAATGATAGGATTTTCTAGTGCAAGAAAAAATATTTTTTCAGTACCCCCATCAGATGACAGAGACATAGTTTTGGTTTGTTTATTTATTTATTTATTTATTTATTTATTTATTTATTGAGAGAGAGAGGAAGAGATCTGTGATATTAGGGCATGTGCGCTCACTGGAGAAATCAGAGAGACAGAGAGACAGAAAGCAAGAAATCACTACCCTACAGGGAATGCCATGCCGCAATCCCTTCTCCTCTCCTCTTAGGATTTTGGTCATGCATGCACACGTGCCCAGTTTGAGTTTCAAGCCTCCAGATCCAGTGCTCCAACCACAGCTGGCCATGTGGGAGTCCAGAGGAAGTCCAGAGATACAGCCATTACACAATCTGGTCCTGAGACTTTATAGTCAAGAATTCTATTTCCTGGACCAATAGTTTGAGATCCTTAGTGGGGGGCTAATGGAGTTACTTGCACAAGCCTGAATAATTCTTCTTTTTCTAATAAAATGAAAAACTGGGGATGTTTAAACAACAGTCTTTTTCACTTCCTAAATATTATAGGCTTATATTTCTCCTTCAACACACTTTTTTGACTACAAAACCAACTAATTATGTTTTAATGGAAAAGGATAATGAATAAATGATAATGATATGGTCAAGCCACATATTGAATAGTCATATAAAAATCACTGGATATTCTACTAGAAAAATTATTAACAAAGATTATGACTTACTAAGGACATACAATAAAACAGAAAAGAAGCTAAGCTGAATGAACATTCTTACCTGCCATCCCAGATCTCGGAAACTCACGTAGAGTTCATGTTTCTTACAGGCTTGTTTTTGTTCACTTGTGTTATAATCTAAAGAAAAAATCACATTTTAAACAAATGGGTTTATCAGGTGTATTAGTATTTCTTTTGTGGGATCGCTGATAAGGTATTTTAAAGGGGGTTATGTTAGAAACTGTAAACCATGAATTTTAATCTTAAAGCTAGAGTCACTTATTAACCATGTAAATGTCAATCAAGTCACTTGTGCCATGTTTCCTCTTCTATAAAATGTAGACAATACCATTTACCTTCTAAGGTTCCAATAAAAATTCTATTAGACCACTTACATGACAGGGAACAGCCTTGTATATGAGTTTATTGAGTACCAGTTGCTCAATAAACACTCATTCATTAATTCACTCATATTATTGTGGTAATTAGTGTACTCATATATATCATATACTCAAACAATATTATTTTTATTTAACTTTTATTTATGTATTTATTTATTTATTTTAATTTGACCAGAGAGGGATAGAGTAAGAGAGAAAGAGAGGGAAATTGAGAAAGAAAGCCTCCAGGTCCAGGACTTGAACTATGGTCAGCCATGTGGGAATCCAGAGACCTTAACCACCAAGCCACCTGCTGACCCCCTCAAGCAATATTTCTTATCATTTGTTGTGAGGCAGACACTGGGATTTTACTTAGTTTATTTTATTTTTTTAACTTTTATTTTTTATTAATTTGTTTTTTGTTAGATTTTTGCTATAGGGCACATGCACTCTCCAGAAAGACAGAGAGAGACAGAGAGACAGAAAGTGAGAAATCACCCCCCAGGGGGATGGCCACACTGCAATCTGCTCTCCATTCTCCTCTCGGGATCTTGGGCACGCACACACATGTGCCTGGCATGAGTTTTAAGCCGCCAGGTCCAGGACTCAAACCATGGTAGACTACATGGGAGTCCAGTGACATAGCCATTACGCCAACTGCTCGTTCCAGTTGATTTTATTTTAATAAATATCTTAAACTCAGGATACCCCAAGTTGAGCTTCTGATCATCTTCCTAACACCCATCTACCTATAGACTTCTCCATTCTAAAAGACAAAAATCTGGTAGTCAAACAGTCTTTCCTTTCACTTCCACATTCAATCTGGCAGGAAATCCCACACACTACTGTAAAATACGGTCTGAACTCTAGCGTTCTCACCACCTCCTTCACTGGTCCTGGTCCAAACCACCAGCATCTCTAGCCTGAATTACCACAACATTCTCATTGCTATTCTCCCTGCTCCTGCCCTTGCGCCCCTACAACCAAACAGCCAAGTGGACCTTTTAACAAGTCTGGTGAATTATGTCACTCTTTAGCAAGTAGGTTACTATGATTTCTGTATCACTAAGAGTAAAATATCCTCACTGTGGTTACAAGGAGCTGGACAATTTGGCCCCATTGCCTCTCTAACTTATTTACTATCACTCTGTCTTTCCTTTCCTTGGCTCTGGCCATGACACCTTGTTGCTGTTATGCATGCATTCAGGCTTGCTCCTACCTAAGGCCTTTGCTCTTGGCCCTTTCCCTGAAAATCTCTCACCCTGTATATGTACACGGCAAGTCTGCCTAAACATCATCTTCTCAAGGAGGCCTTGACCACTCTATTTAATATTGTAACTCTCCCCAGCGGCCTTAATCCCTCTCCCCTAATTCTTTTTCCTGCTCTTTCACTTACCACTATGTGAAATCCTGTGTCATTTATTCACTTACTGTATGCATTGCTTCTTGTCTGTTTCCTCTCATGAGAATGTAAGTTCTACAAGAGCAAAAACCTCATTTGGCTCCATTGGGCTTACTGAGTGTCTCAAATGCCAGGACCACTGCCTGGCATATAATAGGCATTCAAGAAATATTTGAAGAATTAATGAACAAATTCCTCACAGTGTTTCTACAAATTATTTGAGACAAAGGAAATACATTTTTCCATTATATATATATTGAAATATAATATTAAAACCCATCATTTTTATAATTGCTTCAAAGAAAGAAATACAAATACATGGGACCAGCAGTTAGCGTAATGGCTATGTCGCTGGACTCCCATGTAGTCGACTGCGGTTTGCGTCCCGGAGCTGGTGGCTTAAAACTCATGCCAGGTGTACGTGCGTGCTCAAGATCCTGGGGGGAGAAAGGAGGAGAAGGGATTGCAGCGTGACCATTCTTCTGGGGGGTGATCTTCGCTTTCTGTCTCTCTGTCTCTCTCTGTCTGTCTCTGTCTGTCTGTGTGGCGAGCGCATGTGCCCTATGGCAAAAAAATAAAAAATAAATATAAACACAAAGCCCAATCTTGAATTTAGAATAGAACAAAATACTGAAAAAAGAAAAAAAAAAAAGAACGTGACAGAAAGAAACTTGTGTATGTTACTCTTTAGGTGTTTGTTTATACTTTATACAAATAATACTCTAAAAGCTAATCCACTTAGATTTTTTCCAACATAAAATATAAGAGGGAAAATTAAAAAGCAAAATAATTTATTTCAAAGGAAACTTGTGTTAAGGTGTCAACTTCCAGTTTAATTATATCTAACCTCTTATGAAAATGTTGGCACATTAGAGATAAGTGGAAGGTCTTAGAAGGAACCTGTCATCTGCATTTTGTTACTTCAAATAATTATTTGTTTAAATTCAGTCTAGAAAACAAGATAATAAGGCCAATCCATGGCATCATGTCTAAGGAGGCTGGATCCTACAGGACCGACTATACGGTTTGAGTCTTGGATCCAGCAACTTGAAAAACACTCTGGGCATGTGTACATGCATGCCAAAAATCCAGAAAGAAGGGGAAAATGGAGGAAAAGGGATTGCCACCTTACTCTTT